GTGTCCCGAAAGTGCCTGTGACATGTGGTACGTCAGAGGCACTACCGGGACCGTTCTTCCGAGCCAACGTCCCACTGATGGAATGCATCGTCTGGTCCACGACGCCTTTTTGGTGGTCTCCCATCTCCGCTGCCATGCCTCGATGGTTCGGGATCTCTCCTCCCTCTTGACCGCGGCTTTCGGAGGTCGTAGTGTCCCGGGGGCGGTTTCGGCGGCGAGGCGGCACTGGATCCTCTTCCGCTCCGAGCCGAGTAGGTCTGCGGGAACCGTCGAGGCCAGTACTAGGGCGGCCTCGTCCGAGACTGTGCGGTACGCGCGTATGGTCCTCAGCGCTGCTGCTCTCTGAGGGCGTATCAGGTTTGCTCTGGTCCTGGCCGCGACAATTGCTCTGTCGATCCAGGTAGGTGCGGCGTACAGCAGTTGGCTGTCCACCACGGTGCCAAGCAGCTTCCTCTTCCACTCACTGGGGCCTCCTATGTTCGGAATCAGCCTGGCTAGCGCGGCTGCCGTGCGTGAGGCCTTCTTTGTGACTATGTCCACGTGGGGCGCGAAAGTCAAATTTTTGTCTAGGATCACGCCGAGGTATCGGATCATCCCGTAGAGTGTGATCGGGTGACCTCCGATCGATAGCCTCGGGGGGACGTAGGCTCTTCTCCTGGACAAGATGACAGCTTCGGTTTTCTGGTGTGCCAGCTCCAGCCCGTGGCTCGTCATCCACTCGTCTATTTTCAGGAGCACGGGGTTGACCAGGTCCTCCAACAGCTCGCCCGTCACTGCCGTTCCGACGACTGCCAGGTCGTCCGCGAATCCGATGAGCTGGACCCCGGGAGGCACCTCCATCTTCAGCAAGGAGCTGTAGGCCACGTTCCACAGAGCCGGTCCAAGCACGGAGCCCTGTGGAACCCCGCACGTCACAGGTCTAGGCGTCCTCTCGGCTCCGGTCAACAGCGTCCTGTCGGACAGCCACGACCTAAGCATCTCCACCAGGTACTCGGGCGTCTGGATGCGTCTGAGCGCTTCGTCGATCACTGGCCACCTCAGGGAGTTGAACGCGTTCTTCACGTCCAGGGTGACCAGGACGCACAGGCTCTTCTTGCGGGGAGGAGCGGCTGCTTGGGCTGCGATTTCCAGGACGCTGTTGACCGCAGACTCGGTGCTGATGCCCTTGCGGAATCCGTACTGGTTGGGCGCTCTCCTGAGGCCCTCGCGTTCGTCCAGGTGCTTCTCCAGACGTTGGAGCAGCAGCCGTTCCAGTAGCTTGCCCGTCGTGTCCAGCATACAGATGGGTCTGTAGCTCGATGGGGCGTCGCGGGGCTTGTCCGCGCCTTTCCTGATCAGCACTAAACGGGCTCTTTTCCAGCGAGGTGGAAACGTGAGGCCGCCCAGGCAGTCATTCAAGGTCTTCAGCACCGCTTGGCTCTGCGTGGTGACGAGGGCCCTGAGGATCTCGTTCGGGACCCCCGACGGTCCGGGAGCCTTCCCTGGCGAGAGTCTGCGGGCGGCTAATCTCAGTTCGTCGGAGGTAAACTCTGGGACGCTTCTCTGGAACTCCGGAACGCCGGTTTCTGGGTCGAACATCCGGAACAGGTTACAGACAACCGACGAGGGCGCGATGCTCCAGTCCGTGGCGGGAGCTGCCGGAAACAAGGAGTCCGCTATCTGGGCCTCTCTGCCCCTGGAATCCGCTGCGGGGTCGCGGGTGCCGAACTTCTTCATCACCAGCCTATACGGTCTTCCCCAGGGGTCCTTGTCCACCATTGAGCAGAGGTCTGCCCAAGCCTTCGACTTGGCTGCCCGGATCGCGATCCTGAGGTCCCTCTTGGCCGCGGAGTAGCTGCACCTGGCTTCCTGTAAGCCCGGGTGGCCGGCACGCCTTAGACATGCCTGGTACCGTCTTCGGAGTGCCAGAGACGATCGGCGTAGCTCGGCGATCTCGACGCTCCACCAGTAGACGGGACGTCTGGCAGCGGGGCCGGGCCTCTTCTTCGGCATGCTGGCGTCGCAGGCGCCGAGGAGGAAGTCTTCAATGTTGTCTGCAGCTGCTAGGGCCTTCTCCGCGCTTGCCGGCCCCGGTAGGGGACTCAGGCGCGTGGTCGCCAGGTAGAGGCTCAGGGCGTCTGCATCCAACTTCTTCGCAGTCCATCCGAGGAGGTTGATGTATTGAGGCTCCAGACGTGCCTGGTCCTGGTCTGGACTCGCCGTGCTGAATATCACGTAGTTGTGGTCGCTCAGTGACTCGGCTTCCGACACCGTCCAGTCCGACAGAGCTACGCCTCTGTAGAACGTTATGTCGATGACGGAGGTGGCTGCTCCGCGTCTGAACGTCGGAGCGGTACCCGAATTGGCTAGTAGGAGTCCTAGGCTGGAGGCGAGGTCAGAGAGCGCGCAGCCCCTGGGGTTGCTGGATCTAGAGCCCCACTCGATGTGCCAGGCGTTAAAGTCCCCAGCCAGGATGACAGAGGCGTCGCCCCTCGCTCTGATGGCGTTTTCCAGGTCGCCCAGCGCGGCGTTGAACTCCTGCATCGTGGCACTAGGGCGGAAGTAGCAACTGAAAACCGTGAGGCCTCGGAAGGCCATCCAGGCGAACCCGTTCCCGGAGCCCCGGAGATCACAGCTGAGTGTTGAGAGGCGGGGGATGCTCACGGCAGCCATGCGGTCGGAGCTGAAGCACCACCCGTCTTCCTGGCCGTAGCGGGTCGATGAATCGGAGACGATCAGTAGGTCCGCTCCCTCTTCGTCCGCCGTTTGTACCATCAGCTGCTGCGCCGCCCAGCTCACGTTGAGGTTGATCTGCAGGAACTTAATCATTTTGACCGGGTTTGGATCCTGCGGCCTGTCTTCGCGCCGCGCAGGCGCCCGAACCCGGTTTGTGGCTCGTCTTGCTGAGACCGGCCATCTCGCACGCGAGACAACGGTCTTCCCCGGCCACGCAATCCTTCATGAGGTGGTCGGCCTCGCCGCACCTCCAACAAGCGCCCGTCCTGTCTAGTGCCGTGCAGATTCTGGAGTTGTGGCCGAAGGCCTGGCATCTGAAGCACCTTACCGGGGGGAGGGTCCTACTGCGGACTCGGCACATTGTCCAGCCTACCGGGACCTATGTCCAGCCTACCGGGACCTATATATGTACCTACCTAAGATTGTTTATTTAAGTTCAATAAGTTGACATGTATGGCGTGGAGTCTAGGAGAATAATAATGAATAATAAACTAACAATCTTATATTATGCTTACCTGCAACTACCTAAACACATAAGTAATACCACTGCCTAATAAATATACTAAATGAAGTAGTACACAATATGATTGGAAATATATTAAAAAAATTTCGGTAAATAAAAAAAAAATACGGCCTCAGTTGTGAAATTGTATTTGTATTTTATATTACTATTATAGTAATATCACAGATTATGTAAAACTTAAATAATATAAGTTAGTTTTTAAAGACATTTCATCTGCACAAAGTATACATTGTAATGCCTCAGGGGTATAATTTCTAGTTTTAAAATTAATAATATTAAATAAAAAATCATTTAGACCGGGTAGAATTTCAAATTTCGAAGTTGTACGTTTAAGAGTACTGATTGTTGGCAGAGAAAGTGTTGTTTTAATAAAATTATAAACCTTTGGTCCCAAAAAATAAATAGTTAATGCAAATTGTTTCATTTCATGGTCATATCTGTAACCCCCTTTTTTTCTTTCTTTCTGCATTAAATGTGATTTAATAATTAGAATTAAATTTGGAGATAAAAATTTTTGACAGTGATTTAAAAAAGATTCTACAGAGTCTAAATGATCTAATAGATAGAGCCTGTTCTCTAATGTCTTAATATGGTCCTTGGCTAATCGCAGTTGTTTCCTCAACTCCAATTTTCTTGGAGTTGCATTTGAAAGCTGCAATGGAGTTTGAGTCGATGAGGTTGAACTGCTGACAGACAAAGTTGATGATGAACGATCTGGGCTAGAACAAGCTAAAGGTGTAGATAAATCCACGGTAATATCCGCCTCGTCACAACTTGCTCGTTTAGCCAATATGTCATCTAAAACCAATGATCATTATTACTTCATTTTTTTCATTATCAAGAACATTCATACTCAATATTCATTTAAGTTATATCTTACCATTAAAGAGAGTAGGAACAGCATTATCTGTTAATCGGTTTTTAGTAAGAACATTCAAAAACATTTTGTTTTCAAAATGTTCTTGACATATACGAACATCTTTAACCTGAATGTTTTTGTCAGCAAGTTCGGGAATACAATTTTCAATCCACATTGCACGCCTTGTACCATATAAAGTATAGCAGTATAAAATAGTTGCTATGATATATTATAAAATTAAAGAAAACAGAAATCAATTTAAATATTCTTACGTACTTTTCTGAGTCCTTTGGTAACGTAAAGTAACTCAGCGCATTTGAATGTACCGAACTTTTATTAGTGCAGTATTTCACACCACATTTTCGGTATGCAATACTTTTAGAAGTCTTCATAATTCAAATGAAAAACCACTCACAGATGGGAACAAAAATCAATTGTGAATCGGTTTTCCGTAAAAAAATAACAAGAATTTGCGACTCGTGAATGACGAGAATACAACGGCTGAACGGCGTCAAAAAAGTCAGTGATGCGTAGCTAAAAAACAATAATTTCTCATAAAGCCTTATTTTCCCTATTCGTGGTGACACTGATTTGAGGTAGGTTTTGTTTCTTCATATTTTTGAGAATTGCATGGGCTAAATAGGGAGTGCACCATCTGTTTTTATATAATCTGTGGTAATATATGATATTAAAAATTTAAATATTTTTAAATTCGGCGGCCAGTGATAAATGTTATTTGTTGTTTATTCCAAGCCAAACTGATATGATAATTTCATCCATGAAAGTGATATAAACCGTTTTTATTTACTGTCTGGTTTTTTCATTCGATTATTTCAACTGATTTAGATTTTTGATACCGAAAGTACCAGACACGGTCTTAGAAGATACCTAAACAAAAAGAAGATGTCCAACATGAGTTTCAATTTCGGGACACCCAAAACCACAAATCAGCCATTCAGTCCAATGTTTACGATGACTACACCAGCTGCCAATACTCCTTGTAAGTTGATAGTTTTTTATTGTTTATTAATTAGATTATGTCGAGCTGTAATAGTTTTGTGCTAATGGCTAGTAAATAAAGAAAAAAAAAATTAGATTAGACTCAGTGGTGGTAAGTGAAGTTCGTTAACTCGAACTTCGTAGGTTGCAATAACTTTGCAAGGTATGCAGTTGTTAAAATTAATTTTGTGTTCGTGTTTACTCCTCTACAGATAATTGTGCATAATTTTACGGAATTCTAAGTCAATCGCCACCTGACAGTTTTTACTTTTAGATTAGGTACCTAGTGAGTTTTAGTGATGGCAGACAATTGACAATTATTAACCGGGTTGCACTAAACATATTTTAATGAATCAATAGTGAGCTAATGGCCCCTTAAACAATATTCAGTGACCCAAAATTGGTCCATTAAATTTTAGTGAACCATTCAATTTAATAAATTATTTATGAACCCAGCATGCATATTATATCGAGCGTATAATAAAGCTATACTTTTATCAAATTTCATATTTTTAATGATGTTGTAATGAACTCCTATTTATGTTGGTTAGTTAAATATAATATAATGAAAGTAACTTGCTAAGCCAGCAACTGTTTGGAAAGAATTGCCGGGGCAGCCTTTTCTGGCAAGTGCTCGGTGCAGCTATATCTCATGTTGTGAGTTGACGTCAGTCCAATTTGAATGTTTATACATAGAAAATACCCTTAGTTACAAAACCTTAAATTTTTATTCTGTAAACAAAATTTTTGCCAAAGGTAGTGCTTCAATTTTAACTTATAGTATATTATCTTTTAGCAAATTGGATCAAGATGGTACTTTAGAAAGGCCATTTTTCGATTTTCTCAATAATTAATTTAACGCCATGGGTTAAATCACCGAAAAATTACAAAAAACAGGATTTTAATTTCTAACGCTTTTTTTTATCACCATAGAAATGAATAAAATTTAAAAATTTACCTAATTCTCACTAGCTATATTATATATAATTAATGGGTTACTTATTAATACATATTTATGATTCATACATTTTCTTTAATCCTCCCAGAATCATTTTTATAATTTGTATTTAAAATAAATAATAGATCCAATATTATATCTGTTGTATATTTTTGTAAAACTATTTTTATTGGTTATTATCTTTAGTAGTTTAGTACATACCTACATATCAATCACTCAGAAATTACTTATTCTAATTTTGTCTTGGATAAATCAAGTTTCAAAAATGTCATCTGCTTAAAAAATAGTAAATAATTAATTTAATTAATTTATGAATAAAAATTTTTCATTAATAATTTACAGTAAAAAGGAATATAAGTTTGTATCACTATGGGATATTCTTCAAGGCTTAAATGCTATAAAAAAACTAAATAATTAATTAATATATGGTTCTTAAGTAAGTATACTTAAAAATCAGAATTTTAATTAATTCATCATATATATATATAAATGCATGGTGAGCTAAATCGCTCTGTATACACCTCTAAGCCACCAATGGCTAATATTCTGTTTACAACGGGAGCTTAATTACTTATGGTTTATGGTTGTTAAACAGGCATTGCTAGTTGAGTATAATTTGTTGATACTAAAATATTGTCTCCTTTATTTTATGTGTAGTGTACACTATAATATTGTTATTGAAGTTGATTTATTAGCCAAGCTATATGAAATAAATAATTATAAATATTTGGTATATTGGTAGATAAAATTAAAACTTCAGCAACACCTACTTTTCAAGCTTCTATAGATTTTTCATTGAGCATAACTTAATCATTTAATTATTTAATTATTTAGGGGGATCCACTCAAGCTCCAGCTGGTTTTTCATTGGGTGGTACCACACAAGCAACAACTGGTTTCTCGTCGGGTGTTACAAACCAACCATCTACTAGCATCTCATTGGGAGCAACTCCAGCACCTACTGGATTCTCGTTAGCTACAACTCAAGCATCTAATGTTTTTTCATTGGGCACAAATCCAACATCAACGCCTTTCTCTTTGGGTGCAACTCCAACTGTTTCTACTGGTTTCCCATTAGCTAGTACCACCCAAGCACCTACTGGTTTCTCAATGGGCACTACACAAGCACCTACTGGTTTCTCCTTAGTTACAACTCAAACATCGGCTGCCTTACCACAGGCCACAACTCAAGTTTCAAATGTTTTTTCATTGGGCACAAATCAAACATCGATGCCTTTCTCTTTGGGTGCAACTCCAACTGTTTCTACTGGTTTCCCATTAGCTAGTACCACTCAAGCACCTACTGGTTTCTCAATGGGCACTACACAAGCACCTACTGGTTTCTCCTTAGTTACAACTCAAACATCTGCTGCCTTACCACAGGCCACAACTCAAGTATCAAATGTTTTTTCATTGGGCACAAATCAAACACCAACGCCTTTCTCTTTAGGTACATCTCCAGCAGTTCCTACTGGTTTCTCATTAGGCACAACAAGCACTACTGGATTTTCATTGAGCTCTTCTGGAACAACCACAGCCCAAGCTACTACAATCCAAACTACTGCAGCAATTACTACACAAGCTCTACCTATTACATCTCAGTATGTATAGAATTCAATATTTCAATTACAATAATAATAACAAAATATATTTCTATAACAGATCAGATAGTCAATCCAGTGCAGTTCAACCGACTAATTTCCAACAGCTTATTGATTTAATTAACAACTGGACTGTCAGTTTAGAAAATCAAGAAAAACAATTTCTTAATCAAGCAAATGAAATAACCGTTTGGGATAATATGTTGACAAATCAATCTACTAAAGTAATTTATATATAAATAAATAATAAATAATTGAAAATATTAATTAATCGTAACATTGCATTTTTAGTTGGTAAAACTATATGATATTCTGGAGCAAAAAGAAAAAGAACAAGTAGATATTGAAAATGAACTCGACTTCTTGTTATCCCAACAAAAAGAACTCGAAGATTGTTTAGTTCCACTAGAACAAGAATTACAATCTGCTGAAGTATTAAGTAGCTTGAACAATGAAAGAGAACCAATGTACGGTTTTGAAAGTTATTGGTATTATTATTATTTTTAACCAAATCATATTTTACATAGATATAAAGCGGCTCAAGAAATCGATAACCAAGTAAAACAAATGTCAGGGGATATAAAAGAAATAGTTAACAATTTAAATAAAGCCAACTCGAAAAAAGATTCTGATGATGATGTAAGTACCTATAATCAAAATTATACTAATATAAATAAAACAATTACATTAAAAATATATTTGTATGATTGTTTTAACTTTGGTTTCAGTTGGATACTATTTGTCGAATATTGAACTGTCATATGACAGCATTACAGTACATAGAGCACAATGCTGAAAATTTAAGTGCAATGGTATCTGAAGTGAATGAAGAACATTCCCGTTTCTTAACTGCTGCTAATGATAACTCTTTTATATCTTTTAGGAAATAAATAATATTATAAAATTGATATTAATTATTATTAATATTTCAGTAAATTATCTTCATCCTTTGTGTGTAATCATTAAACATTATAATATTATGTAAAATATGAAAAGATATAAAGCATGTATTAAATATTTATGAAATTTATGCTTGTAATAATTAATAAAAATATAATAATTTTTCAATGAGTACTAAATCATTTGTAATACAAATTATTAATTAATAAATTAGTTGATAAAATATGAATGCTAATGTAATAACTTAGATTTGGTACAATGGAATATATTTATATTTTTTTTCAAGAAACGTTAAGTATATTTAGAGAGATATTTTGGTACATGTTACAATTATTATTATAGTTAAGGGGCCTCGCTACTGCTGTCAATTTTAACTGAAAAGCCTCAAAGTATTGACAAAATTGAAGTCAGTTAACGTTGTCCGATTTTCATTCTGAAAAAAAAATTGAACTCACCAGTAAATTGTCTATAGATCCTACGAAGCACTTTGTAAAAACTAAATTTTATATTATTGTGAACTGTAATTGAATACTTGAAAATATAAACTTTTTTCGTACGATCTACAGACATTTTTCTGCTAAAGTCAGATAATTTTTCAGAATGAAAATCAGACAACGTTAACTAACTTCTATCAAAACAAATGTATGATTTTGTATAATTTGGGTAGTGAAATTTATATGATTATCGACGTATTGACTTGTGCATGCCTGTACGTGAGAGGATACCGGCATTTAATTTCACTCACACTATTTATCATTTACAACTAACACATAGATTCCGGGAGGCAATGACAAGATTAGAAATTGCCTAAATGTTGTCCCATAAATAATGACCGTAGCGAGGCTCCTTTAATTGTTATAAATAATAACCGACTATAGATATTCTAAAACAAAAACTTTATTTTCATTAGTAATAACAAAATAAAACACCTATTCATAACCACCATTATAGATTGGAAACGACATGATAACCAGTCTTGGAAATTAGTGGGAAGTCTTGAAATTTAGATGAAAATGTTGGAAGTCTTTGAATTTAGACGGAATCTTGGAAGTTTGACGGAAGTCTTGGATTTCAGGAGAACATTTTGGAAGTCTGAATTTAGTCGGAAGATTCGGAATTTGAAGGGAAATATTGGAATTTAGAATGGAATTATTAGAATGTGGATGGAAGTCTTTAGACGAAACTGTTGGATTTCTTTGATTTTAGCCAAAATACTTAGAGTTTGAAGGGAAGTCTTAGAATTTAAAAGAAAGTCTGTAATAAGTTAAAAATATGATTTAAAATGAATATGTGATGAATAGTGAGTTAGTTAAATAATATGAGATGCTGAGGTTATATTTTAGAATTATTAATGCATCTGCATGGGAATGTAGTTAATTATTGTTTTAATGCTATATATCTTTGACTCATTACTTAAATATTACTACTAAAAGTGATACTTTATGGAGGGGGTGAGTACGAGAGTTTTTCTTTTAGTTTAAATTTAGGTTGAGCAATACTCGAAGTGTTGAATAAATTTGTTACATACCTTTCGTAGAACTTGCAATTAAGGATTATCTTGCATGATTTTACTTGACAAATACTCAACATTAGACATGAGGAGCATATTGAAATAATATTTTATTAATCAAAAAAGGTATTACAATTAGTTTATTTTTTACTTTTAAAAGAATACAAATATAATATAAAAATTAAAATTTAGTTGAATGAGATTGAGCGAGTGACTGAGTCCCGTTTGTGTGTTGTATGCGTTTTAAAGATGATGGTGTGAGATTCCGCATTTGACCGTTATCGAATTGTAGATTGTGGCATTACTCTTTCATGTGTGTCATTCTAATTTTATGATAATGTATTGATAATTTGTATTTATACAGTTGATGGTAATTGTACTATTTAATTTATTTTCTTAAATCTAAATATAATCTAATAAAATAACGATATATCATCAAACATAGTTACTAGTTAGTACTTAGTAGTATATCATAGGCTGATTGACCATCTAAGCTTAGAATCATTTTTCGTATACAATGATATTATATCGTTATAAAAAAAATGAATTAGAAATTATGAACAAAAATACTACACAAACTTGGTTCATCATTTGTAAAAACAAAACAAAACAATGTGCAAGCACAGAACAAGGTAGAACCAGCCTGCTTAATAAATAATAATATTATTATCTCAATTCTTAAATATTAATATTTCAAACAGCTTAATAATATTCTTATTTTTAATTTTAATAAGCTAAAAGATAGTTTTTTTAGACTTTTTTCATTACTCGTATCTAAAATGAATAATTTTTGTCAGCATGGTTCTTAAACTTATATTTTTATTGTATTTCCTTACTTCATGAAAAATCCTTATTTTGTAATAGGTATCAGAAAGGAGATAGATTAATTGGTCTCAGTGACTTTTAAATTGATGAGTTGTATCAAATAAAGAGAGAATATCATAGTTCACACAAGTCATATTGTTAAATATTGAAAATGTACTATACGCAGGTTAATCTTCACTTTATTTAAAACAAAAGATTTAGTCTTTGTTATATCTTTTATAGCATAATTGTATCCACCGAGCTCATTATTATACCTTAGTTCAGCCACTACGGCAGCGCTGGAATAGGACATAGGTTGGAGTTTGTGTGATGATAATTGTCACACATTTTAGGCGGTGTAGACTGGGGTACGATAAGGTACGAATTACCGATTAACGAAGACAATAATATGACACCACACAAGTCTCTTTTTTTGACAATTTATAAATTTTTTCATATCTATTTTGAGGAATTTACTTAATTCTAAATAATAGCCTAATACAATCGACAGGATGATCCTTAACCGATAAACCTAAAAAACAAACGTCCCTACAAATACAAGCGGCCCACCGGGAAACTACCGGTATCCCGCCTGCCCAGTCCGGCCCTGATCATGATGGAGTAAAACCTTTCAGTTTGTCATGTAAAATTGTAATTTAATTCTTATTCAATATATTTGTTATTACTCACAGCTTCTATGTTTGTATTATCTAGGATCGAACAGTTGCCATTCACTGAACCTACTATACTATTATGCACTAATAATCGATTGAACGCTGCCTGAAATTGGTGACATGTTGGATTGTCATTATATCTATCTTTACTACGTGATGCACTATAAAGTTTCTAAATGATCCTGACTAATCTTGTATGTTATGAAAAATGTCATAAGATTTTTTTAAATTAACAATTTGAATAAGTCAAAAGCACATTTGAAATCTATTTTACGATTAGAATCAATAACATTTGTTTCATATTCAAATTTCGGAACATTTATATATTTTTGAAATTCCTTCATAAAAAGTTGGTATTTTTCAAAATGATCATAATTAATTGCATTATTTTGCAGAATTCTGCATTTGCTTATACCCTTCAAATTTATCATCAACTGTCCGCATATAAAGCAGTGCATCTCCGGCACTATCACTGAATAACTCTGCGGCTAATCTGACATTCATTTTTTCATTGTGAAAAAAATATGTCTATATGTCAATTTTGTGGCTTCTCTCAAACCTTCTTCTTTTTCTTGTGAGTTTTAGTTTTGACTTCCGTGTTCTGTACCAAAAAAATATAAAAATGTTTGATTCTATACTATTAGCCAAAAATGTCAAATTTTTGACTTAAGAGGCAGCTACCCATACATTTGTTGTCTCCGGCTCACACACGCACGACATAGAAAATTATCGTTCACTAGTTTCAATAGTGTGCTGTTAGTTTTGATACTATAGTGAATCGACCTATTGGCTATTATAAAACTTTTAGGTAAGAACATTATCTGTGCTTAAGCGTTGCCGATTTTTCAAAATTTTCATTTTAATTATCAAAAATTAAAAATGCTCATATCTCGATTTAAAATTAAAATATTGAATAAAAGCCAACGCTTAAGCACAGATAATGCTATAATCTAAAAAATGTATAATAGGTCAAATCACTCTAATATCAAAACTAACAGCACACTATTGAAACTAGTGAACGGAAATTCGCTGTGTGGTATATGTGTAAAGCGGAAACAACAAATGCATAGGTAACATCCTCTTAAGAAATTTCTACCATACACTAAAGAATTATATTTGTTATATATTATAATATACCTTCAAATTTAAAGCAGTATTCTCGGAAATTAGCAATTTATTTTTTAATTCATTTATTGTATCCAACAGCGAAGATACTTTTTTTTTGAGACGTTGGTTTCTTTGACTCAATATTTTATTTTTTCGACGAATATTTTTAACAGTATTTCTTATTATACAAAGATTATTTTTTGTTCTTTGTGGAGATGAAAAATCTTCATCACGTAAATCCCCTAGTCGGCTGGAACTCCAAATTCTTCTTGTTTTTTTTTGTGGAGTCTTCACTTCTTCATCTGTACAGAGATTAAACAGAAAAGGCTGGGACGTTTCAACAACATTTTCCTTTTCATAACTGGAATTTAAATTTTATATTAGATATTGGTAACTAAATAGCTGTTAAAAATAAACCTTTTTGTCCTAGAAGTAGATGGTGACACATCAGGAATCATTAAACACGGACTACTTATTGATGCATTATTAGCATAACCGCAAGCATAACTATGTTCCTCCAATAATTTATAATTACTAAAAAGCAAAAATATATTATTAGTCAATTTTTAATATTTTAATTATTTAGGGATCCTAACCTGGTTGGTACTGCAGTTGATCGGAGAATATTATGATTGTTGGTAAATATAAAATCATTAGCGCTACTAACTCCGTCACTTAAATCCCCTATTCGACTTGAACTCCAAATCCTTCTAGTTTTTTTTGGTAGAGTTATCACTTCTAAATTTGTCCAGTGGTTAAACAGAGGTGGCCGGGAAGTTTCAGAGTTTAAATTTTCATAACTGGAATTAAAATTTTATATTAGATATTGGTAATTAAATGGCTGTTAAATAAAAACCTTTCTGTCTTATAAGTAGATGGTGAACTAACATATACATCAGACATCAATAAACACGGACTACGTAATGATTCATTATCAGCATAACTATGTTCCTCCAATAATTTAAAATTACTAAAAAATAAAAATATATTATTAGTCAATTTTTAATATTTTATTTTTTCAAGAATCCTAACCTGGTTGGTACTGCAGTTGATCGGAGAATATTACGATCGTTGCTAAATATAAAATCATTAGCTCTAAAATGTGCGCTACAAACTTTCTTCCAATTTGATATTGATGTTAAATTAAGTGCATTAAGCCACATGGTTCTTTTAGATATATCTTTTGGAAATCTAAAAATAATATATTTTCATTACTTATTATGTTCAATATAAAAATGTAGTTGGCATATAATAAAGGCATACTAACGAATGAAAAGAAACATTTTTATTATTATTTCTGGTATTGTAGCACACACAACAAATTTGGACCATTGTTGATTTTTCAGTAGGCAATATTAATAACAAAACTTCACCAACGTAAAACTTAAAATTGAAAGTTACACTGGTTACCATAGACTACCCTAGTTAGTAGTTACAGCATGACAATTTATAAGTTACAACAAATTTCAAAAGAAATTTTTAGTTTTTCTATTCTTAAATTCTTATCGGTGATATCAAAACTCAAAATAAAATTGATATTATCACAGATTATAATATTATTTTGTTCTGTGATATTATTATTATTTAAATTTTTTATTTGAACATAACCTAACAATCTTCCTCTTGCGGTAGGGCTCTTTAAGAACAGGTAAAGACAGCTGCCATTTTCTTTTCAATTGGAATTAATACAGAATGAATATACATTTTACAAATATTTATCAAAACAAGTACGTCTATAAAAAATAGATAATCGTTCAAATATATAATAATATGTTCCTACCTTTATTCATTAATTACCCATGGCTAAATAGTTATTTAGTCATTACCCGCTGTCTTTACCCGTCTCTATTATATCATAGAGCCTTACTTGCGGGAGTGAGTTCTTTAGTTATACATTTAAGACCACGACCACAGGATATATAGAAATACCATTATACTTGTCTATTAAAAATTCGTATTTTGATATAAGCACATAAGCATTAAGCACAGAACAATATAGAAGCGAAACTCGATCAGCTGATTGGGGAATTGGTTACCCATGATCTGAATTCTGAACCTCTGAATCTACGAAAAACATGGAATTAGTTCCCGCACCAACATAATGTTAGACCCGCATATTATGAAATCGGTTCCAAGTCTAAGGCGGGATACGGGACGCGGGGTCGGCTTGTTTACCATTCCCTATTTCACGTATGCCACGCCCTCCTGAAGACCGTGTTCAAGGCCGCAATCGCAAACGCACGGAGTTTCGTACAATCGTACCCCTGACATAAGTCTATGAACCTGATTTTACCAACATTTTAAACATTTTAACATTTTACGATACAAACAAAGAGAATACGATTCTCCGAGCTGCCACGAATCACGATTGTATAGACATATTAATTGTATTAACAATTAATATATTAATTTATTATTAACATGTTAATTGACTTATTGATATGTCTATGCGCGATTGTCACGTGAAATAAGTTTGGCAAATGCCAAGTTGGCTTAAAAAAAAATTGTGGAACAAATGATAGTGATTCTCGCATAGGTCTATTATAATCATAGAACAATAATATATATGTATAATATTGTAGAACAGTATATTTATATATATATCTATGGATTCTCGTAATCATCAATCCTTATCACTGCTATCGGAATCGGAATATTTTATCTATGGTTATCGTCTTATCACAAAACAGTCTGTAGTTGTCAATGATAATATAATACATGTATTCCATGTATTATCTATGGTAGTTGTAGACTGTAGTCATTAGTCATAAATCCATAACTAAATTTTATTTATTGGTCATGCATAAATCGAAGTTCAGTCGACTTTACTTTTCAGTTTTGAACTTTTCAAATAAGAATACAATTAATATTTTATCAAATTATAACCTTCCAGCACTGTAGAGGTCTTTAAAGTGCCCTATGCCCCTATAAAAACAGGTGTAGTCGTCACAATATACCACGCTTGTTGCTGCTTCTAATCAATCGTTTGACCGACATACTTTCACGCTTACGTAATTTTCATTTGGCTTGGTAAATATTATTTGGTAATATTTTGATAAAATCGTAACCCATTTATTTATTATGAAAATACTTTTCTTTTTTAATGACTACCTCTTCTACAATTAATTGTTTATTGTTTATTGCCTGATTTCATAGGCGCTGAACGCCATCAAAATTGTAACGATGATTTGGTAGGTTGATTGTGAGTCAAGAAAAGAAAAACCAAGATCATCGTCCAATGAATTCTGAAAGCCCTCAGTCGATTGGCGTGTCATTTGCCGGTAATGTTGGTGAAAAAATACCGTTAATGAATCGCCGCCGTCAAATGTTTGACTATTTCACTCGTATGTTTGGAAACTCGAATGCTGGCTCAGAGGAAACATCCAAAGATGGCTATGTTGAGTTTGGCAATATTGGGGAGGCAACCAGTGGCCGTACGCTGGGACCGTTTGCTGGAGTGTTTGCACCTGTCTGTCTGTCCATGTTCAGTGCCATGTTGTTTCTGAGAGTGGGTACGCTATTAAACATTCACACCTATTAATTAATTTATACATATTTTAATAAAACACTGGAATATTGACAGCTGTTGTAATTTGTTTGCTTGTTTATGTTGTTTAGGATTTGTTGTTGGAAATGCTGGCCTCATTGAGACACTATTTCAATTTGCCATTGCTTACACAATTATTGTTTTCACTGTTATGTCTGTCTGTGCTATATCAACCAATGGTGCTGTTGAAGGAGGTGGTGCTTATTGTATCCTTTGGTCTTTATTTTCATGGCTTATTAATTATTATTTATTTTACTTTATAAAACTGTTTTACTTGATAATTTACTTTCTCATAATTATGAATATTATTTCCTTAGAACAGCATAAACAGTTATGATAAGTAGAACATTAGGACCAGAACTTGGAGGATCAATAGGAACATTGTTTTTTTTAGCAAATATTGTTAGTAGTGCTCTCTGCCTTACAGGATGTGTAGAAGGACTGATTGATAATTTTGGAGAATCTGGTATATTAAGTTTTTAAATAAATATGCAAACTTCTTTCATATTGAAAATTTTATAGGCTGAATAACAAATACACTCATAATTTGATTATATTATCTGATTTTTATATATTATATATGTATAGGTTGTATAAGTATATGTATATACAATATTGACTAATCACAGTAGAAAACTTTTATTACAATTTTTTACTTTGTTTATAATATAAATATACTATAATATGTACTTGTTTTTAGGTTATTTAATGCCAAAAGATAGTTATATATTAAATGATGGCCATTGGTGGAGGTTTACTTATACATCATCATTAAATTTCCTGAATTTACTTATCTGTTTAATTGGTGCAACATTATTTGCTAAAACTACTGTGATCATATTTGCAATAGTTGTGATATGCTTACTATCATCAGTCATAAGTTTTTTTTTGAAATCTCCACTACAAGTAAAAAAAAATGCCAATGAAATACATACAAAATAAAAATTGATTGATCATTGTTTTTAGATTGAAGTGCCTGCAGCAAACACTTTTGTAAATCAAACTAACACCACGGTCTTATTAAACTACACTGGTTTTAGTTTAACTACTTTTTCTGAAAACTTAGGCCCAAGGTTTGGTAATGATTATACATCAAACAATATTGCTGTAACCTTTTCAACAGTGTTTGGTGTACTTTTCTGCGGTGTGACTGGAATTTTAGCCGGAGCCAATATGTCTGGTAAAAAGAAAATATTTTTTATTGTTAAATAAAAGTATGTACAACATTTCTTAAATATGTTTATTTTTTAGGAAATTTGAAAAACCCATCTTATAGCATACCTCGCGGAACATTAGGTGGTGTACTGTTTACATTCATATCATACATTAGTTTGTCCATTCTTGTTGCTGCTACATGTTCAAGAGATTTACTTCAAGAAAACTATGTATTCCTAATGCCCATTAATATTTGGCCTCCATTTACTTCTATTGGTATATTAACTGCCACATTTTCAGCAAGTCTTAGCTGTTTGATTGGATCTAGCCGAGTGCTTGAAGCATTAGCAAAGGATTGCATTTATGGTAAGAGTTGTTATATTTTTATAATCCTATTATTAAAGATTATTTTAATACTTTATACATAATATTAGATATGTTTATTAAGTAATTTAAATGAATAAATATTTTTTATCATGTACTCTCCAGACATGAAAGGGTTCATTATAAAAAACATAAGACTTAACTGTTATAACAGAAATATTAGTTTAGGTAGTATAAAGTATAGAAATAAAGTAAGAAATAAGATCATAGATAGAAACACACAAAGAATAATTTTTTCCAACAAAGCTTAACTTTATAATCTATTATCTAAAATATTATATTATTACATAATTTAAATAAATAATAATAATAAAGTAAAGAAAAAATATAATAATTATTATTCAAGTTTTTAATAAGCTATGATTGCAAAAAAAATCATTTCTATATCATAATTAGGGTGTTAAACTATTCATTTAAAAAAATTCAATAAGTTTTTATGTTGTTTTTCATTGTTTTATTCATTTTTACATTCTACTTTCTTTAAAATACCTAAATTATGAGACTAATTGCATTACTATCATATTTAGTTTTTAAAATACTAATATTGACCTGTAAATTATAATTAACTGCACATTAATATTTTGTAACCTGACTCAAATACGTAATTTGTTAACTTATACACAATACAACTTGACAGTTAAATATTAATTGTGACTTATTATAGAACAAAAGCAAATAAGTACAAATTAAATTAACTAAATAATAATAGTGTCAGTGTTATTTCTTATTCTTATAGGTAGAGTTCAAAATTGTATGATTTTACATAATATTGGTATTGAATATATGCAAGTGATGAATGGGAGTATTAAATATTGTAATTAAGTATCCAAAACAAACCATTTTCAGGTAGATTGTTGCAGTTTGTTAATTATGGTGTGTGGCGTTCAAATCCTATAGCCGCAGTTTTATTTTCGTGGTTATTAGTACAAATGATTTTATTTATTGGATCTCTTAACTTAATTGCTCAGCTGAATTCAATTCTATTTTTACTTGCTTATGTAGCACTAAATTTGACTTGCCTTGGTTTGGATCTCACATCAGCCCCTAATTTTAGGTATTTATTATTATTTATTTTTGTTATTCAATTTACATTATACAGTGTAACAGGAAGACCTGACAAAAAAAAAAAAAAAATTGTTTTCACTTAAATGTATGACAAAAATTGTGAAAATGATATTGCTAGTAAATAATTTAAAAAATATACTCATGTTAAGAAGTTTCCAAAAAAAAATATTTTGAAAAAGTTATTACATTTTAAATTAATTTACTCAAAAGAATATTGATATTTTAAAAAAATTCTAAAAAATGAACAACTTGACTTAGATAAATTATTTTACCATTTAAATTGTTCTTTTAATCAGATTTACGAATTTGCTAGGTATTTTGAATTTTTAAAAAAATTTTAATCAAATTTTTTATTTTTAGTAGTTATAAAAAAATAAAAATTTTTATATTAAACATAACCATAATTTATATATAAAAAAAATAATAATACTAAATTTATTGATTACCACAAAAGTAAATTTATCTGTCAAGCCTTTCTGTTATAACCTGTATACTACTTAAATTAATATGCATAATGATAAATAAATCTTATACTTTTCAATTAATCTCATTTTGATGATTAGGCCATCTTTCAAGTATTTTTCTGCATGGACCTGTTCCTTTGGACTAATGGGGAGTGTGATAATGATGTTTGTAATAAATCCATTTTATGCCTCCACCAGTTTTGGATTGTGTTTATTACTTATACTCTTATTGCACTTCTTCTCTCCATGTGAAGCTTCTGAATGGGGATCAATATCTCAGGCTCTAATATTTCACCAGGTATGATTACCTCTTTCTTAGCTGTTAGAAGACACCACACCCGCATGTATTGTGTCTATCTTACAAACGTAGAAGATGACAAATGTTATGTTCACATTAATACATTTTACTCTGTAAGTTCTAAAATTAGAGAGAATTTACCTGTTATAAAATGTAACACATTGACTTCCATGTGATTGCCAGCAGTCATGTGTAATCCTCAATTTGTATACAATTAATTGTGACCGGCGGCGTCCTTAGTCATTTCTACCACATCATATGACCGCCCGCGACCGTAAATTATTATGGTCTAAAAAAAGCGCTGTGGCATAGTTAAATGTAATAAACATTATTTTTATTTTTATTTGTTTTTTTTTCAAATTTATACACATTTGGAATTACTCTGAAAAATATTCGGTACTTTTCTGTTATCCCTACTACCGCTCGATGTCGCGACTACCGCGATTCTCAATTCTGTTATCTCGACTACCACGCCGGTGTCACGATTTCCGGACGCGTATTTACAGATGCTACTTGAGACTGGCCAATAGATCCCAAATTCAGTTAAAACAAATTTATTTTACGGATACTACTCGAGTCTGGCCACTATGTAATATACCGCTATACTCAAATAAAGACTCATAAAGTTCAATATGAAAGCTGTTACGCAGACTGGCCACTATGTAATATACCGCTATACTCAAGTACAGTGTACAGTGATGCCATGCTAGGGGCACTCGTCGCTACGCTCCTCGGCGCCGTCGCTCCGCTCCGCCAAATCGAAAATATCCCCCGACTTGCTGTGCAACACCTCGTCAAGTTTTGAGTGGTTGTGCGGTGGTTACCCTATAACTTGACGAGGTGTTGCACAGCAAGTCGGTGGATATTTTCGATTTGGCGGAGCGGAGCGTAGCGACGAGTGCCCCTAGCATATATAGTACTATAGTAGTCGAGATAACAGAATTGAGAAGTCGCGGTAGTCTCGGCACCGGCGTGGTAGTCGAGATAACAGAATTGAGACTCGCGGTAGTAGGGATAACAGAAAAGTACCGAATATTTTTCAGAGTATTTGTTTTAACTGAATTTGGGATCTATTGGCCAGTCTCAAGTAGCATCTGTAAATACGCGTCCGGAAATCGTGACACCGGCGTGGTAGTCGAGATAACAGAATTGAGAATCGCGGTAGTCGCGACATCGAGCGGTAGTAGGGATAACAGAAAAGTACCAAATATTCTTAGTGTACCGATAAATTTATGACTGCTAGCAATCACACGGAAGTCAACTTGTTAAAAGTAAGATTATTATCTTGGATATCTCTGAGACTTATTAAGAAGAAAGTTATGACCTTTTTGAAACTGCACATTTTTTGTACCTAGCTTACTCAAAAATAATAATATTAATAAAATCCTTTAAGGTACCCTAGAAAAATAATCTTACCTTTAAATGTTATCGTGGGTCAATTCACTCTAATTTTAAGAATAACAGTAAAATGGATTATTGCAAAATTTGCTATGATGTAAGTTTGTAAGATGGAGAAAACACATGCGGGTGTGGCGTCCTCTTAATTATAAAAATTGATTAAACTGTATTATAATTTGTCATCATAGGTCCGCAAGTATCTGCTTTTGTTAGATCCGAGAAAAAATCATATAAAATTCTGGAGACCTCAAATGCTGCTAATGGTTGCTAATCCTCGTTCATCTTGTCCAACTATAACATTTATTAATGATCTGAAAAAAAGTGGTTTATTTGTGTTGGGACATGTCAAAGTTGACAAGGCAGAAACAAATTTAGATTATACAGATAAGACCATCTCTTCCTGGCTAACTCTAGTTGATCATGTGAAAGTAAAGTACATTAAAAATAGCTATTTTATACTGTTTTTGACTAAGTCATATTAATATTATGGCTCAATGGGATTAATCTAGGTAAAAGCGTTTGTTGAACTGACTGTGGCCAATAGTGTACGAGAAGGACTACATCATCTTATAAGGTTATCTGGTATAGGAGCAATGAAGCCAAATACTGTTGTAATGGGATTCTACGACAATAAAGTACCACTTGACTATTTTACAAGGTTAGTTAATTAAAAACTCTAAAACTGGATAAAATTGTGTAAACTGTATGTATGTTATAGATTAGATTCTGTTTATAAAACTTCTTTATTCCAAGGAATAACAACTAATGACGAAAAATTCCCTTTGAGATTACCCAACGAAGAAAAAAATTTATCTACATCAGAATTTGTATCAATGATCTGTGATATATTTCAAATGCACAAAAATATATGTATTTGTCGACATTTTGATTTATATAACAAGACTGATATTGTCAAGTATGATTATTTGTTATATGATTCATTTTATAATTTAATTTTTTATGAACAATGTCTATTTATTTAGAAACATTAAGTACAAGTATATTGATGTTTGGCCTGTTAACTTCTTTGGTCCATCGATGAATGATGCGTATGACACTAGCAGCTTGTTTATGTTACAGTTATCATGCATTATTAAAATGATTGCTGTGTATAAAAAACACACATTGAGAGTTCACTTGCTCAACACTATTGATATTCAAAGTCAAAGAGTGCAGCTAAAACAGCTATTGTCTACACTACGCATTAAAGCTACAATTCATGAAGTAATTGCATACTGTTAAGGACAAAATATTACAGTTTCAACTATAAATGTATGATTTTTCAGGTACAAGAATGGTCACAGATTGATCTGACAACTTTAGACAGTGATAAAAATACATATATTTCAAGGTGATAATTACTTTTATTTTTTATTTGTCTACAATTTTATGATCGACATAACTAAATACTATGATGGTTTTATGTATTGTAGGGTGAATAAACTGATTAAAAATCAGTGTGCTGAAACTGCTATATGTTTTGTTTATTTGCCAATGCCCAAAGAATTACGGGGATCAGATTTACAAAATGTAAGTTATTTGAACTCACTTACTGATTTGACCAATAACCTACCACCTACAGTTCTTGTACATGGAGTGAGTGCTGTTACATCCACAACCTTATAATAAATGTATTATTATTAGTGAATATTACTAAAATATTATTCTCTTTATTTATCACATAATTATTTTTGTATTTTGATTTTTGAAGTATCTAAAATATGAATTAATATTAATAATTCAGTCATTGAAAAAAATATTATCTAAACTAATATTTAAAGATTTTTTTAATTTTATGTACTCTATATATTATATTTTTATAAATGTAAGGCCGGATTGCATTAAAAATATTTAATTTGGTTAACGAAATGTAATGAACCAATCATGACAATCATTTGAAAACTTTAGCTCAGTCACTATTGATTCATTAAATATTTAGTAATTACTAATTGCTTATGCAACCCGGCATATTTATTGTGATACTGTTAAATTTGTAATATGAATATTTTATACAATAAAACTATTTAATAATGAATATTAAATAACTTTATGATTAGGTTACCTCAGTCTTCAAGTTTGTTCTAGTAAATAAATTATGGTTGTAAAATATTTGCAGAACTTGTAAGAAGTGTTATATTACAATTTACAGTATTAAAAATAGTGAGCGACAGTGCCATCTGAAGATGTAACTAACACAGTAATCTATTTATGGTAGTTTGTGCAAACAACAGATGCTAATTAAATTCAAATATAATGATACTAAATCATTGTAGTAAAAATGAAATGCGCAATTTTTAAATTAATAAACAAACAAAATGTTTTCAAGTTAATTTTGTGGTGTAGAATATGGAAAAAATAAACATTAATATTTTTCATGTAAACTAATGATTTTCACATGTTGTTTAATCGAAACAGTGCATAATAGAAATATTTACCTAATGAAAGCATATAATATATAAGCATTTAATATTATCATAAATCAACAGTACAATTTTACTTGAAACAGTTTATATAATACATTTTATACTAAATATAATTTAAAATAAACTACAATCAATTGAACAATTTTAATAGATTTGATTTTAGTTTTTAATTTATAACTGCATGATTAGTTAAAAATAAATATAATTAATTACAATGTTTAGTTGTATCTAAAATCCTTATTATTATACAATTGCATAATATTTATAAAGAAGAATTATTATAGCTTAATACTTATTAAAACAAAATACTTAAGTTATTTTATGGGTTATTCGTTTTCTCTGATCTTACTAATCAAGCATAACTTTTTATTTAATACACTGTTTTCATCGTTAAGTTTCTCTATAGATTTCTTGTACTGGTTACACTCTTTCTCAAACTATGATATAGGAAAAAAAAAATTTTTTTTAATTGTTACTTAATACTTTGTTGTGATATTGATTCTCACCATTTTAGATACCATCTCTTGGCGATTAGCCAATTTCAATTCTAGTTCTTTAATTTCATCATCCAATTTAGAATCTTTATCGTTGAAATACTTCCATACATTATCTATTTTATCTTGTAACATATTTTCTTAAACATTAAACATTGTAATATTATTTATATATTTTTAATTGACAACATTTTATAAAGTATTAATATTACCTTCAAATTCCAATCCTTTTGTTAATGAATATTTTTCCAATTGATCTTTGCGCTAAATATTTTTTTTTAGAATTATCAATTTGACAAATAAATAATGTTAAGTGATAAAATATACTGTGCAGTTTAAATTAGGTATATCTTATCAATAATTTCTAACAAAACTAAATTTAATGCATTTATTACTCATTCAGTCAGATAAATTTAAACACAAATTACCATAAAATTGCATTTTATATATTATAAAAAAATAGACTGAAACTATAAAAATAAAAACAATTAAAATTTTTATTCCATAATTATTTAGTTCTTAATTTTCGAATTATTAATTATTAATTTTGCTGTAATTTATATTTATTATTGCTAAGAATAATTTATAGCAAAGATGTATTTCTATTTACTTGATTTAGAACTTCAAGATGGGTTTTTAAAAATTCATATTGTTCTGAAATAATAAGCGTAATACCAGATTAAATATAATATTCGATTATTAAAAATTAAAATTACATATTTTCATAAATGTTCATAAATCAAAACATGTTGATGATGCATGAATTGGCTTAGTCGGTCTATGTTCAATAATAATATCAATTAAAATACTAACTACTTTTTTCAAATAATTCTTCCACATCCATTTCTAATTTACACTTTAGTTCGTCAAGTTCGGTTTTGTTTTTTTGTAAATTGTTTATTTTGAAATTCAATTTTGATAATTGATTACACAGCAACAACTTTTTTTTATCCAGTAAATTTGATTGCTGCATTAAATTATCCCAAAACTATAAAAACAAAAGTTCTTTAGTAAAAATGATAAAATATTATTACAACCACTTTTTGGTTATTTTATATAAAATCTGTCATCATCAAAATAATTATGTTAAATACATAATACTGAATCTAATTTTTTGTCATGCCTGTACCGAAAGTGTATTTGTTGATGCCAGTTGAAGTGTTGGAGAGTTACCTTTTTCCGTCCAGTAGAGAATAAATATTTTTTTTGGGCAATGGACGGAAAAGCTAATTTCCAAATCAGATTAATAATGGTATATTATAAATTAATGCAATTATACATTTTTTACTTTTTCTAATAGATATATCAAAAATTATAGCTAGTTGGTGAGTAACGCTTACTTCTCCCTATGCCCTATGGAACAGTGGCGCCAAAGTCAACTTTCTTTTTATAATAATTATAATTTATTCATAATTCAATTGTGATCACTACCATCAATTTTTCTAACACACCCCACCTCAGCACCTCAGATCTAGTGACGCAAATCATTTTTTTTTCGCACGCCGTCATTAATCGTTATGAGTAAGGCCAACAACTATATGCCCTAAAAATCTATTAAATATGTATGCTGTTATACCCTAAAAATTACTAAAATATGTCCTTAAGATATGCGCTAAAAAAAAAAAATGTTATTGTAAAAATGATTAAATGATTTAATTTTTTTATGTATTATACAATGTATACCATAATACAATTGTTGCCAAATGAATGTATATACAAAAATTGAAAAATGTATGGTATTAAAAATGGTATTAAAAATGGTATTAAAAATGGTATTAAAAATTATAAGATTAAAATTAAATTAATAAGTAATAAATAATAAAAAAAAAACATTCATCAAATAATAAACGTTTTAATTTTTACTTGATTTTATTGCATTGAAAAATTAATGATTTGGATAAGTTTTCAAACAGCATTGAGAGTCTATTGTCCGCCAACAAATTTTTTTAGATTGGAAAAGAATATATTACATCAACGGATGTAATAGGTGCGTATTTATAATGCAACAAATCGTTGCTTGTCAGATCTTCTGGGATACCTACTAACGTGGGTACATCCCCAGATAATACTTTAGAAATTTTGGTAAGAATATGAACAATTGAAAACCATTATTTTTTTTTAAAAACATCTATTTATTAGATAACCTCTTTTCATAAATGAGTTGAAATACTCATAATAAGGTATATGAGTGAAACAAATTAATATTTTGTAATTCCCGAGTTTATAAGATCTTAAATATGCTCCAAAAATATACTATAAATGCTAAAATATGCCCTAAAAATGCAAAAATACCATAATATGCAAAAATATGCCAAATAAAATTTCGTATACAGCATCGTTAGGTTATAAAACAAATTTTGGTATAAACTAGCAATATTTTTGAAAAACCAATAAAAATATGCAAATGCACACAAATGTTGGCCCTAGTTATGAGTTTTCAAACAATATAACTATTAATTATATTTATAAATAACCTCTATCGGCTATTATAGGTGTATTAGATTCCACCTTTGTACCATAAACACGCATACTACATAGGAGGTACCTACTGGCTACCACCAATTTTTTTCTTTTTTTTTTTTGGTGGGGGGCACATCAACACGGTACCGACGTCTTGTGGCCGCTGCAAGTAAGCCGGTCGGCCAGACGCCAGACAACTATAAGATGGTTGCGCGTGAGACCGCTCTACTATTTCGTGACATCGAGTTTACCAATTCACTCTAGACCAATTATTTTACACATATTCTTTTTTTGAGGGGGCGCATAAAGATTTTAACACATCAATGAAAAATAAATAAATAGGTAACATAAAAATAATTTGCAATTAAATGTTATTGTTCTTTCTTCCTGCACTAAACTTATAATAGTAGTTTATAAAGTTAAATATTTATCTACATTTTAAATACATACTGAAATACCAACTTTATTGTTGAAAGGTGAGATACATAGGTAGTAACTAGTAGGTACTCTGGAATTCTGGATACTGAATCTCAGACCTTGTTGGGTACCAGGGTTGATATAATGTCCCTATTACAACTTACAAGGCCATAACTGGGGGGGGTCTAGGGGTCAGGACCCCCCTCAACATTTTTAAAAGTAGAAAAGAGTTTATATTTTGAACTTAAAAATGATAGGTGTCCAGTCTCCATAATATTTTTTAAAAATGTGTGTGTACATAGGATACTTTAAAAAGGACAAACCTATATCAAAATGAATATTTTTAAGTTTATCTATAACACATGTCCCATGTGTGACCTTTAAAAATCGTCTCACCCCTCTGTTATCTTGATCTAAACCCACTCCCTGTCATAATATAAGTACTAGTGTCGAGTAACCTACTATTACACATAACTTTATTAAATGTAAGTAAGTACTTGTTTGTATTGAAGAAATCTTTTTTCAAGTTCTCGAGCTTCATTGAATAATGTATCACCTTCCATCGTACAATCTCGATAACTTTTACAAGGAACAAAAAAGAAATTTATAATTAATAGTATAATAGCATAATAGGTATATATACATTGTTTTTGGTTCATTAAAGTCAAAGTCAGGGCCGTATTTAAGGGGGGGCAAAGGGGACATTTGTGCCAATTTTTGAAACAATTTAGGGGTGCGGCCAGGCGCCGTTGTATATTATATAAATAACATTTCTTTTTTTTTTTTGTAAGAATTTTTTAGAGTTCCTATACTTGGACTTTTTGCATTGCAT